AAAATAGCTTGACCCCAATAATATACATCCATCTTCTCATAAGCATTTGATATTCCCAAACCCTCGCGATCAAACTGATCCTGATTATCGCGTCTCCCGATGAGCATCTGTTTAGCGCCAAGCAGCTGCGTAGTTTGTTGATGTGTTTTCCGACGGCTTCTTAACACGGTAGATCAGACGGCCTTTGTTTACAAATAACAGAAATGACCCCTGTCTATTCTTACAATTATAGGTTTCTTTTAAAACGAGATTTCCATTTACATCTGACGACTTTGTTTCTCTTGATCTGCATGGATGTGAATTTATGCAGAACGACTATAAAGAATTCAATCGAAAAGATTTCGTTATACAAGAGAAAACACTGATTTGTCACGATTATCATGCAAGATCAATAATTCTATGATGTAGAAGAAATCTACTCTCGGTGTCAATGTTAAGTTGTTTTTTCTATTCGCTCTCTAAACAACCCCCTCCCCCTCTCTCTCTCACTCTCTTTCACTCTCTCTCTCTCTCCCCCACACCCTCTGTATATGTACATGTATATCCCCTTCATTATAGCCCCATTTCTCAAATCCATCTGTTGAAACTTTTCTATATAGATGACCATAAATACACACGCACACACATACTTTTTTCTTAATTTTTTAAAATTTTCTCCCAAGGATTGATTGAAAATTTCATTTTTTTGCTGTCAATAAATTCAAACTATCTCTGTCTCCCTGGCTATCTTGCAACATATGTAAATCTAACATTTAAAGAAATCGGTCATTCCGTGGCCCTTTTAAATGGAGAATTAACACTTAAGTATTAAAGGGATTGGGTAACTTTGTCTCAGATTCCGAAACAAAATCCTGGATTTAGCTCATGCTGCAATGATATTTATAAACCTTTAGGTCAGTCAGGGACCCCATGACTTTTAGAAGCCGATCGCCTGTCTGATTATCAAGATACTTATAATTGGAAATCGAAACTCAAATTTTGCGGTTTCCTAACGATTTCATAACACTACAATCTATTTGGTAAAACGAGTAAGGTAAAACCGGTCACTCAAAGATTTCTACTTTTTGAGGCACTTCTTGATCATTTTAAAGCGCAATTTTTCTAGGGCTTCAATAAGACACCATATCACAGACACTGATAACACGTAGGGCCGAGCATCTAAGATTAACATCGTTAAACGATGCCTTTAAGACTATACGAACACCTAAATGTCTAAATTTATGGAACCAAGTGACAACTACACGACAACGCTATTCTTTCCAGTCGCACACTGACTTGACAAGTTTCCTTCCTTAGATTTTGAATTCTTCAACTTTTCCAGATACCCGGAATGTTTGCTGGTAGTCATATATCAATAAAACTGTTTTAACCATACTTACATGGAAATTGACTTGGTTACTTTCCTTCTGTCTCTACAGGAATCCAGACGGTACTACAGCTCTTGGTTGCTGTGCTGGCTGGCTGGAAAAGGGAGGCAAGTGCCTTCGAAGTAAGTCATTTATTTAGTTGAAAATATTTGAAATGTAATGATATCCATGATGTATCTTTATGGACATGCTTATATAAATTATGTCATCGTGAACATTTATTCAAATTCAAAATGAATATTGTTAGCGGCAATAACAAGAAAGATCTTAGACAATAATTTAAAATGAATAAATTTGACAACAATTAAAAGTCGAATAAAATTATTTCCCTCTTTTCTGCCATTCGATATTTTTCGAGAGGGGGAGGGGAGGGGAAAACACATGCCCCTGGAGCTACGTCCCTGGTGATTGACATGGAAAGGATTGTATGATTATTTGTATAAATTTAGCTCCTTATATAAATAAATGTCACATCTTCAAAGGTAAACAGACGTATCGTCCTAAAATTGTTTTAATTTGGTTTTAATCAACAACTGAGTCATCAGGTGCCAGTCGTCCCGAGGTCAGGGTTGGCTTTCTATAATATGCACCTCCACCTTTATGAAAGTAATGGCAATCTTCAAACAAGTGCCCGATTATTTTCATTGAAATCAATTTTAAACCATAAAACTTGTCGTGGTGATAATTCCGGATGTTTAAGAACCAAGAAAGGAAATGGCGAAGTATCAATTTGATGCAATTCTGTTTACACCTTGACGTTTCACCCACTCCTATTGCCGGATTGTTTGAGAGTGATAAAAGTGTTTATGGTAATTTCCTTCCTTGGCTCGAGTACTGGATCATTGTCATGAATTTCTTTTAAAGTCGACAAAGAGTTCCCTTTTTATAAAATAAGTCAAAGATGATTTTGCCCTCAAATCACATGGAATATCTAAAGTAACCAATGTTTTGTTTGCATCAATTAACCTTGATTCGTTATTTGTTTCTCCCATTTCCCCTTTCGACTCTTTAGATTACTATTATAAGTTAGAATTATGTTCACGTATTTGATGAAAAGATGCCATTTCCTTTGATTAATGCTATCATAAAACTCTGTTACCTCTTAATTTATATAATGACAAGAAGGATGCAGAATAAACAATCTGAATATCGATATGACTGTATCGTATGTAAGACAGGGGAAGTCAGTACGTGCAAAAATGTAGTTGATTTGAATGATAACTTTTCGTCGTTCTTTGATTTATCTTCAATTGCATATTACTTGTTTCAATACTCGCTTATATTTTAATCAATATTCAGGTTGCATCATTGGCTCTTCCAACTGTTCCTTTTAGGGTATGAGGGGGGGGGGGGGGTGGAGGGGAGTAACACGAGGTGACTTTACAAGTTTTTAATTTCTTCCTCATAACGTTCTGATTGCCCATTCTCTTGATTTTCTGTTTAGAATGTCCAAAGAATAGATGGGGTGTTGGTTGTGCTAACACATGTACCTGTCTAAAGAAAAATGGCAAATGCAACCGAGCAACTGGAAAATGTTCGTGTAACAAGGGCTGGACAGGGGCAACCTGCGAGGAGGAATGCGACGCTGAACACTATGGCAAAAACTGTCTACTGGTAAGCCACCATTACAGGCGTTACTTATTAATTTCTGTTAACACGATCACAAAGACTTTCAAGAAATCAACATAAGGGTGAAATTCGTTACTCCATGTTATTGCCTGCATAGACATCAAGTTCGGATTACGTCTAATATCGTTACTTTTGAAATGGAATTAGGTTGATATTTGTAAAGTCTTTGCAATAACGATTGTTATTCATCATTATTACTTCATTATGTTTAGTTCGGTTAACATTAAAGGAAGCTGTCTATCATGTATTTTTTTCGATGGGGGAGGGGTTCCTCAGGCCCCGGAAAGATTTTTCTCGTGCGCTTCTCATTTATACTTCCTCATTATCTATGTCACATCATTGCTATGGTCTGATTACATAACAGTCTCTTCAGCCATATTAGTATTTGATACCTACCAGCAATCAATGGTTATGGCCTATCTTTCTTTGTAATTATGGTTGCGGAGTAAAATTATGTATGAAAATATTGGTTAAAGGGTAAAGGGTAAACCGTCAAATCCGTATAAATCAAATCGTATCAAATCAATTTAAAGGTTCTAAATGGAATGCTGATTTTACAACGGAGATTACCTACTCTTGTATATAGTGACTGGGAATGCGAACCATTCTGTTCATTCAATGTTACCTTACATAAATGTCATATCATTTCAACATCGTACACATGGCTAACTAGTGAATTATTACCATAATCTAATCCACGTCTTATAAACTTGTATGATTCCACTCCTCAGACCTGTACCTGTCAGAATGGCGCCGAGTGTAATCGTTGGTCAGGTGCTTGTACCTGTACTGCTGGTTGGAATGGCAAGTCATGTGATCAACCGTGTACTAATGACCGCTACGGAGTGGGTTGTCAAGATAGGTAACTTATCTAATTAAATAAATCAATCATTACGGATCTTTAGTTATTATCTTTTTAGATTTCTTGTTCCATTCCAGTTATCAAGTAATCTTTATATATTTCAAAGTATCGAATCTACGGGTCCCCATTTGTGTCCGACCCGCTGGAAAGTCCAAGCATCGGAAGTCAAAATGTCGTACAGCATGCGGTGGGATTGAACAATTCTTATTTTCATGGAAGTTAAACAAACCACATGCAGGGTATAGAAAATTTAGGTAGGACTATCAATCTTTGTAAAATGAAGGACAGATTATTATTTGTGCTCTAGCTGACAGCAAGTGTTTCTAGCCCGACTCTACCCTATACTGAAAGTGGATCATTTAAACATTACTTTTTGTCGTTTTAATTTTATTTTAGTTGAATCCCCACCTTGGAAGCTATATCATTGATTAGTGTTCGAACAATTACAACATTAATTTTTAAAAGTATATGAAGATTTAAATGAATCAATCAGTTTGCTCAACTCTAAATAATTTTGTCTTACAGATGCCGTTGTCAGAACAATGCTCTTTGTGATCCTATGGATGGCTCTTGTACATGTCGCAACGGTTTCTCCGGCCCGCTATGTGAAGAAGAATGTCTCTGCTCAGACGGGTCACCATGCCGGTCTGATGGCTCTTGTACGTGTGAGCCAGGCTTAACAGGATCAAGATGTGACCAACCATGCCCTCTTGGTACATTCGGAACTGGGTGTTCACAGGAATGCCTATGTCAAAACGGAGCACACTGTAATCAGACAGATGGAACCTGCACTTGTTCATCAGGTTGGATAGGGGAAGTCTGTGATGTTAGATGTCAGGAGGGGTATTACGGACTTGACTGCAGAGAGGAGTGTTCTTGCGTGAACGGTGCGAGTTGTAGCCACACCAGTGGTTCATGCTCCTGTCCACCAGGCTGGATTGGAGAGACATGTGCTGAGATGTGTCCAGATAACTTCTTTGGTGAAGGTTGTCGGACGGATTGCCTGTGCCAGAACGGAGCACACTGCGATCATGTGGATGGTCGCTGCGATTGCAGTCCTGGGTGGACGGGTGATCACTGCGATGGAAGATGTCAACAAGGGTCATACGGAATGAACTGTGAAAATCGATGCTTGTGTGAAAATGGAGCTGGATGCAATCATGTCGACGGCACTTGTTCATGCCTGGCTGGCTGGCAAGGACAATTCTGTACGGTCACCTGTGCGGATGGTACATTTGGATTGAACTGTGCGAATGAATGCCAGTGTCTTAACGATGGCACATGTGACCCTGTCTCGGGGTCATGCAGCTGTCAACCTGGATGGAGTGGGGACTTGTGTACTGAGGTTTGCTCGACAGACTCATATGGATTAGGATGTACTATGGAATGCAGATGCCAAAATGGAGGCACTTGTCATCATGTTGATGGATCATGCACGTGTGGTAAAGGATTTATTGGAGAAACATGTGAACAAGAGTGTCCAGAAGGATTCTATGGACTTGAATGCTCACAGCAGTGTCAATGTGAAAATAGAGGAACATGTAACCAGATAGATGGCTCATGCACGTGTACTGCTGGTTGGACAGGACCAGTTTGTAATTCCCCTTGTGGAGACAGCTCCTTTGGCTTACAATGCCGAGAAGTTTGTGCCTGTCAAAACAACGCTACGTGCAACCATATCGATGGGAGTTGTTTATGCCAACCGGGATGGATAGGAGATTTGTGTGAAAACAGATGTCCAGAGGGACGTTACGGCAATGCTTGTATACTTCTTTGTGGTTGCACAAGTGGTGGATTGTGTGACCATGTTGATGGTTCATGTAATTGTTTTCCAGGTTGGACTGGCATGGCTTGCAGTGCACGTTGCCAGGATGGATTTTTTGGACAAGACTGCCGACAGTTATGTCAATGCCAGAATGATGGTAAATGCGATCGCATCGATGGAATGTGCACATGTAAATCTGGATGGACTGGGGAAGTGTGTGCTGAAACGTGTCCAATAGGATCTTTTGGGAACGAGTGCCTGCAACAATGCCAGTGTGTTAATGGAGGAACTTGTCATCATGTTAGTGGAGCTTGTTCCTGTGCGCCAGGATGGCAAGGTGTCACTTGTGCTGAGCCCTGCAGCAATAACTTATATGGACAAGACTGCCAGGAGCACTGTCATTGCCAGAATAGTGCCACATGTGATCATCTAGATGGGTCCTGCCTTTGCGGACCTGGATGGATCGGGGAGTCCTGTGAACAAGAGTGCTCTTTTGGACTTTTTGGATCTGATTGTTTACAACAGTGTCGATGTGCAAATGGTGGAATTTGCAGTCACATTGATGGGTCTTGTTCTTGTTCTCCGGGTTGGACTGGACGGCTTTGTGGTGGAAGATGCAGAGAAGGATTCTTTGGTCATGAATGTCAAGAAATATGCCAATGCCAGAATGATGGTACATGCGATCACATCGATGGTTCATGTACTTGTGAACGGGATGGATCGGAGCCATATGCGATGAAAGGTGTGTTCGAGGTTTCTTTGGACAAGATTGTCTGGAACTTTGCGTGTGCCAGAATAACGCATCATGCAGCCACATCGATGGATCATGTACCTGTTCGTCCGGATGGGTTGGTGACATATGTAACCAGCAATGTTCTGAGGGGTTCTTTGGTAGTGAATGCTTAGGGCAATGTCATTGTGAAAATGGTGCAGCTTGCCATCATGTCGATGGATCGTGCTCCTGTACACCAGGCTGGGTTGGACCTACATGTGGAGACTGGTGTGACAAGGGTTTCTATGGCCAAGATTGTCAAGAAACATGCTTGTGCCAGAATGACGGAACGTGTCACCATGTCAATGGATTCTGTATTTGCCAATCTGGATACATAGGATCCATGTGTGAAGAAACATGCCCTCCAGGATATTATGGCTATAACTGTGTGGATGCATGTACTTGTCGTAACATCGCATCGTGCAATCCAATGGATGGTTCGTGTAATTGTCCTCCTGGATGGGTCGGTTTACAGTGTAATGAATCGTGTTCAAGGGGTTACTATGGACATATGTGTCAAGAGCCTTGTGGATGTCAAAACGATGCAGAGTGCAATCACATAGATGGGGCGTGCACTTGTCAGCAAGGATGGATCGGGGATCTGTGTGACGAAAGATGCTCTTCTGGTAACTATGGTCACCAATGTTCTCTTGTCTGCCAGTGTCAAAATGGCGCCGCCTGTCATCACGTAGATGGCTCTTGTGGCTGTTCAGCTGGATGGATGGGGGAGATATGTGCTACACCTTGTCCAGAAGGCCGATTCGGTTCCAACTGCACCGATCTTTGCCTCTGTGAAGAAAATGGACGTTGTAATGCTGCTGATGGGTCTTGCTCATGCGATCTTGGCTGGGAAGGCATGTATTGTGGACAGCAGTGCCCTCAAGAGTTCTTTGGACAGAATTGTGCAGAGAAATGTTCATGTCAGCATGGCGGTTCATGTAATCCGATGGATGGATCATGCTTATGTAAAGCTGGATGGGGAGGGCCCAACTGCGCTGAAAGCTGTCCAGATGGCAAATTCGGTAACGGTTGTTCCGAAGCATGCTCATGTAACCAGCACGGCACTTGTGATCCAGAAGTTGGATGCGTGTGTGACGCAGGATGGTTAGGTCAGGATTGTAACAGTGCCTGTCCTGATGGCACGTATGGTCTGAATTGTTCTTCGACATGCGACTCTTGTAGCACGAACAGTTCGTGTAATAAGGAACTTGGCTGCTTGTGTGACCCAGGATTTACTGGTCCTAGGTGCGAGGAACTGTGCGCCAATGACACTTACGGCCCAGATTGTGCCCATACTTGCGCATGTATGAACGGTGGGGTTTGTGATCCCGTCCTTGGGTGCATAGACTGTGTTCCAGGATGGACAGGTGTCGGGTGTAAAGATATATGTCAAGACGGTACCTTTGGTCTCCATTGCAGCTCGGTGTGTAACTGTCAGCTGACTGACTTCTGTGATCCAGAGACTGGATACTGCCAAGGTGGGATCACACTTCACATGTTCAAAGCCATTATTTCATTGTATAATAAATTATCAAGTGGGGTACCAAAAGAAAATAGGGAAAGTGACACTTGATTAAATGATGAATAAACTACATTCGTGCATTTTTAATCTGTTCTATTAATATATTAATCATGTTCAACACCACACAATTATTTTCACCACAAAGGTTTTGTTATATTGCTACATGGTTTTCATTTATTTAACCAATCATTCTCCCCTTGGATTTTTGAAATTACCAATAATTTTAGCAATTTATTGTCACATCATATTTTGGCAGCTGGGTCTGGGTGTTATATGTAATCCATATATCGTTTCTAGTACCATAATCACAAACTAATTATATAACCGTTCTCATATTCCAATGGTTTGCTCCATCGCCTCGTTTACTTCCAAAAGTATATTTAATAGAAACTTATAGTCAGGCCCTTGTCGAAAATATGTCAATAAACCAATACTTTGTACTTCCTCTACTTCTTTCCTCTCATTACGTACTTCTTCTTTATTTGGTAGTACTCAATGTTGCTGCTGCTGAGACCAAAGAGCCGAGACACAAACAAGACCAGTTAGGAGTAATCACTGGTGTCACCGTCGGGAGTGCTATAGTGATATTTGTTGTTGTTGCAGTCATTGCCTACGTCATTCGACAAGTAAAGCACCGACCACCACAAGCAATTTACAGGTGTGGTTTCAAACATTCGCTCCGGGCTTTATTTTGCTAAAAATAGAGGGTTAGGGTCAAAAATGTTTTTTTATGTTAGGTTCAGGATTGGGGTTAGAGCTAGGTATAGGTATGTAGGTACGGTGTTGGGCCCAGGGGTCGAAGTTGGAAAATCGAGAATCAAGATAGTAATACGAAATAAAGAATGAGAAAGTAATAGCTCATAGCTAATAGGTTGAAGGGTGATATTTTTATATTTTGGACTTATTCCCTTTTTGCTCACAGTAGAAGCACATTTTGGACATATTTACATGCAAAAGCTTCCAGGTTAGACGTTTAGATTTAGATAGTATCAAGCCGACATGGAAGCAGTCTTGCTGTTTTATAATGTTTGTTTGTTTTGGGCACCTTATTCTCTTTGGTATGAGATCAATTACATGTGAAATCATTATGATCTAATACATATTTTCTTTCTTCCTCATATTCAGTGTTCCAAAGGCCACAGCTGCTCGTTCTCATCGGATAGACAGTAATGGTGATAAACCAGACGAAATCAATCATAACTCATTAGGTAAATTAGGTTAATTAAGTGTACAATCCATAACTACACCCTTATTTCTGATAAAGCTGATGGATGTGAGGATACCAAATGAGTGCTTTAGCGCCATCTGCGTTTGGAAATTAGAAGTGCATGTATTTGAAATATTTCTTCTTCTTCTTCTTCTTCTTTTTCTTTTTCTACTTCTTCTTCTTCTTTTTCTTCTTCTTATTTTTCTTGTTCTTCTTGTTCTTCTTCTTGTTGTTGTTGTTCTTGTTGTTGTTCTTCTTGTTCTTGTTGTTGTTGTTGTTGTTGTTCTTGTTGTTCTTCTTGTTCTTCTTCTTCTTGTTCTTCTTCTTGTTCTTCTTCTTCTTCAATATTAGTTTAATTTGGTTGCATTCCATAAAGTCCTGAATTTTTATATAATTGGAAATGGCTGACGCCAAAAATGTTTAAATGATAGAATGTCTTCTATGGGGGCGGTGAAAAAGCTCTTCCACATCCCAAAAATCTGGCGTAGGTGGCGGTAGGAGGGGGGGGGGGGGGGGTAGGGACTGCAGAAAAAATTAAAAATCACATTTTATTTACCATCTGTTTTTTCATCGAGGTGTTCTGTTAGTAATGTTTATTCATACATTTTAACACGTTGGATGATGCTCTATCATCAATGTGCTCGCTTGCTAAATTCAACAAACACCCCCAACAACAACAACAAAATCCTCAATGATCATCATTGAGTATGCTCTGAACATTTGTCCTAGCTAATCCATGCACATTAACACAGCCAGCGTAAAATGTGTCTCGTTCTCTTACTATTCAGGCAAACCGGGATCGCAGTCGGATTGGAAGTCAACATCGAATGGTGATACGGGAGAGACACGACAGCAGTACTTGGAAGGAAGCGTCGAGGTCATCAGCGTTAGCATGCCACAAGATGACATCGTCGAGCGGGAATCCAGCTTATAATATCCTGCGAGTCATTGTGTGTGGATGCTCTAATCATATATTTAAAAAATGAAACTACATGAAATACCCAATCGTTTGTAGCTCCTTTTTGCTCTATATTCCTAAAACAAATTGGACCCAAATTGGACCAAAAGATTCCCTGTGGAAAAGTGCTCTTCTTATTTCCAAACAAGGTAAACGATGAAAGAGGTACATTTTTTTCAATCCAATATGCCTCGCCCTTTAGGCGATTACAATAACTCTGCACCGGGAAAATCTATGTAAATGTTTGGCAATAGTTCCAAACATTGCTCATTCATTGCTACTGCATACTATCTTGTATAATAATCATGATGAAAACTGTCAGTTGAGTAAGTTGTAGTCCACGAGATGATTGTAATGTTCTTACCAAAGAAATATTGATACATTAAGTGGGCTTGTTTCCAAGATGATATGATAAACCATTGTCCACGCTACCATTCTACCATTTTTGTTTTCGGTTTTATTATGTTCATAGCAAGCACAAAGTGCTCGCTTATCAGTGCAATGTCAGCTCAGAAGGTTTAAAATTATTAGTGAGTTCTTTATTTGTTGTTCTTTGTTTTGGGGGACGGGTGACGAAAATATCCGTAACAGCCCTCCTCGTACCAGTTATTACGAAAATGCCTTTAGTTTTTTTTCCAACAGCTGTGGCGTATAGCTCCAGGGGGCACTTGTCTCGCCCCATATAAGGAACTGATGACATAAGGTGGACGTATATGAAAAAGAAAAAAAAGAAAGAGAAAGACAAGGAAACGGGAAGGGATATTGTGTGTGTGAAAATAAGATGGTACGACACCCTCCAACACTCGATTGCCGTGTTCTCTCGCATTTAATTGCCGAGCAAGATCGGTGTTCAGCCCCCACAAAGAAGGGCACCTTTAGTGAATGGATTCACGCTACGCTATTTTCCACCACTATACATGTATATCTTCATGCTAGTAAATGTACATGTTCTACTATTGCCATTTTGTAGAATATCATGTGGTAAAAAGTGTCTATCTACGAGAAAGTGCTGTTGATATTAGGCATATCAAAAAGACGTTTGTAAATATTTTGTTTATATTTTATATTATCCGTATAAAGGTGAGGAGGGCGGTAATTAGATATTGCTGTACTGTTCGTGTCATTTACGCAGTCTTTAGGTGTTGATGCTCAGGTATATACGTAAATCATATTGCTTTCCTCAAATTTATCAGAAATTACTGTACATTACAGTCTACTTGGTAATTAAATTTGTCACAAAAGTACGAGTTTGATATGTTTTGCATTTTTATGATTTTGAACACGATGCGAAATGGATGAAATTGAAAAAGAAAATAGAAAAGAAATTGTGACGACTTTTGTCTGATTGGAATGCATACACAGAGACGAAGACAAAATTCTTTTATAACAAACAGGCTATATAGAATTTAATCATGTTAAATAAAATTGTATTTACAGTATAAAACAAAATCTTACAATAAAAGTTTTCTTTTGAAGAACATTTGCAATCTATGTACAATAACTGTTTGTTCTTTTTTTCCTTATTTATGTTCACATGTTGCATTCATAACTTTTTCTGACTGAGTAGTGTCTTTGACAGTTAACTGCGTCTTGCTGATATCATCTTTCTCTTCGACACAGATAAAAATTAGTAGGAATGAAGAAGTAGTAGTATATAGTGTTGGTTGTGAAGGAGGTATTGGCGGGGGTGATAGAGATAGTTTTGGTGGCATTGGTTATGGTAGAGGTGCATGGCATTGATGGTGGTGGTAACGGAGGTGGTTGTTTAGTGAACTGGTAGAGGTAATACTGATATATTTTGTCTTTTTTTCATTTTCATGTTCTTCTAAGGCTCCTTACCGTTTGTCTTCGTCCTGTTTCTGTTTACATCTAGGTTCTTCATAATCACAATGCAAGTAGATCTTCTAGACGTTCACCAGTTCTAACAGAAAATGACAACAATAAAAATCAATTTTTAAGTAAACTTAAGGCGTTAGTGAGGAAGAATAAGGAGAAGAAGAAGAAGAAGAACAATAACAACAACAATAACATTTGAAATGTTACATGAAAGATTACATTATGATCAAGGAGAGATAGTTAAAAGCAAAATTATCAATAATTAGTTTTGGTACAGGGAACATAGAACAATGTCGTTTTCAGCACTTGAAGTAGGTGTTAAATCTTCAAAATCGTTTTTCTCGGTTCGATTTGTTTTACCAGCGCGCACGCTACGCGCGGGGGGGGGGGGGGGGTAGCAATATAATGACACTCCCATTCCTCGCTCCACCCCCTGCCCGGAATCACCGCTCACACCCCTCAACGTCATAACATTATTTCCCCCCGATAGACGTCAGCTACTAGGACCCACCCCAAACTGTGCGTCCCTAGGACCCAAATTCCAACATACGAACAAACATTCATAAACAAACAGACATACAAACAAGCAAGCTAACAACTGTTTATCCTGTTTCCTCTGCTCTGTTTTGCTATCCACATTTTTGAGAGTGCCCAAGGTGGTTCCTGTTTATACAGGCAAAGAAACTTAAATTTGTTTAAAAAAAGCCTTGTTTAGGTAATAATAATTATATTGACAGGGCTTCTTTCGGGTTTTTGTGAAATATTGACCGCGCTAAGACCATATTGCCCTCGTCTTCGACTCGGGGCAATATGATCTTAGCTGGGTCAATATTTATGATATACCCCTCATGCCCAGTCAATATAATATAAATGTTTTTTTATTTTTTTTAATTTTTTTATTTTTATAATTGCAAATAAAACTCAATGACATAACATATTTACAATAATATCATATCAATAAAATAAATGGATGTATACAGAACACGGTTCAACACAGGACAACACAACACAAAACAGCAAAACGCAAAGACAATGCCTCCCTCTAGTCATTTAAGGCTTACCCTGACATGCATCAAGGTTATATATCATGTAAGAAAACCGAGACTGAACTCGTCAAGGAGAGGCTCCACTGAAATACAGTACTATTAACAATAGAATAACATAATTGACAATATTAAATGCCAGGGGACCAACATTCTACAAGAAAGAAAGTGACCATTTCCTAAAGTGGGAGTATCAGATACCGTTGATAATCAGAAAATCAGGAAGAGGCATATACTAACTAAAAATAAATGGGAAGTCCGTAATGAAATAGGATAAAATTATAGAGGGAAGATAATCAGCAAAAATTTGAGATGACAATTAATGGATAAAACTTGGGAAAGATTCAAGTAGTTTTTTTGTTTGTTTATTTTTGATATCTTCCTTTCAGTGAACACATTGTCAGGTGAACAAACTGTGCGGATCTGGAATCATGACAAAGTAAGTCATTTATAAAAATTGAAGTATTAGACACGTTTATTTTTTCCTTCCCATGGGATGTAAGTTACCATTATCAGCGTTACTGAAAAGAAATCAAATCCTTTGTGCGCTTCTTGAATTTTCTGCAATAATCACCTTCAGGTTAAAGGGCAAATATCGCAAATTACCGCAGGATACCAGATAATAGTGCCCGTTTCGTTTTACACGAGGCGTCATTTTGGTTGCGTTATTAGCTGCGCTTATCGAACCCAATCAGCCATGCATGAAGTCTTTCGTCTATGTCTGAGCATCAACGAAACGGAGTTAAGTCTTTTGTCAATTCCCTTTGTTGCTACGGCAGGCAGCTAGTGAAATCGAGCTCGTTTAAATCAAATTATAGAAATGCAAGTATAACTTTAAACAAACAGAACTTTGTTATTCCTGGCTCATTTTCCCTGATTGAGGCGTCATATGAAAGGGCAGAAATTAACCTCTCTAGAAATGTGATTTTCTCCTTGAAATTAAGATACCGCCCGCCAAATGATTGTTTGGTTTCCTCTCTTCAAATTGTTTTTAATCACTCATGCGTAAAATATGTATCATATGAGTTGTATCAAATGAAAGAGGAGGGTCTAAGCTTTACAAATATGTGTCATTTATTAATTATAGTTTATAATTATTAACTCTTCCATTAAACACAAATTCTAAATTTAAATCAGTGTCCCTACTGGCGTATGGGTTCGATAAGCGCAGGTAATAACGCAACCAAAATGACGCCTCGTGTAAAACGTACATCATACATCTTTCGGTACACGGGACTCTTTGTTTGTATGTCAGTGTATGTGTGTGTGGGTGGTGTGTGTGTGCGCGTGCGTGTGTGATTGTGTGTACGTGTGTATGTGTGAGCTTGGGTGTGTGGATGAGGGTGTTGGAAGCATGTTTAACAGGGGTGGGGATGGGAGAATAGACAAAAAATTCTATCAAGTATACTTTAATATTCTTGATCATACACTGTCGCTCATATAGCTGGAATATATTTCTTTTACCCCAATTTATGGAATTATTTTGACAATAATATATTCCTAATATATCAAGATAATAGTACACATACTCAGCTTTTATTGAATATTAATTTGCCAGTGTTTGTTTTGCGTGACTGCTAAAGCATGTGCATGCTACTATTAGTAGGGTGTTAACACTGCCTGTGCACACAGTCTGCCCCGCGAACACACACACACAACAGCAGTCAGATGGTAGAAATAGCAATTTTTGTAAATTTATTTAAAAAAAACTAAACAATATTTTTAATTTTTTATTTCACATATATTTCAAGCATACCTTTAACTACAATTCTGTGTAGTTTCATTATTATAGGCATGTGGGATATATTATTTAATTATAATATTGTCTTTTCAGCCATGTGTGACATGGCCCGCTGGCGACTTTGCGTTTTACACCCTGGCCTGGACCTTTTCCCAATAAATTTCAAGGAACCGACTGGGAAAAGTCTATCCATGACAAGATATTGCGCGCGCACGTAGCTCTTCTGCAATGCTCAACGTACGTCCTATATATATATGTCCAGTGTCGCGGTACGCGGTACATGTACTTTTGTATCGAGACGTACGAGTGAGAGAAAAACAACGAATAACAACAGAAGGAAATAGAGAAAAACAATAAATAATTAAAGAACAGAGAGGAAACAAAGAATGTCATAAGCAGAGAGAGAAAACAAAAACTAACTTGAAAGAAAGAGAGAAATTAGAGAAGGAATTAATCAAAGTAAGGAAAGAGAGAAACCAAATAATATTATGGTTTTTGTGGTTTAATTCCGCCTTCTTCAGGGTTTCAATTTTTGACGTGTAGCCTACTTTCAAACCATTTGCTGATTCGGACCCCCCCCCCCTAACACACGTGTACACATATCGACACATACACATACTA